TCTTCTTCTTCTTCTTCTTCTTCTTCTTCTTCTTCTTCTTCTTCTTCTTCTTCTTCAACTTCTTTTTCTTTTTTTACAAAATGAGGGATATGATGGCCAATGGTTATTTATAGCAACATGTCAACGTTAAAATTTCTGCTGGAGGTGCCATGAAGAATTTCTCATGTGGGTCTCTGGTGAACTGCTGTTCCAGGAAGTTTCATTGCAGCAAAGCCCGGATCTGCTTAGACGTGGTATCATCATTGAGGTGCCGGGTGGTGTACCTAGGGAGAAGCAAGGCCACAGGAGGACAAGTGCACCCTTCATCATGGAGGCAGGGTGGCGGGGAGGAGGGAGAGGCATGCATAAAGCCCCAAAACCGCTCGGCCCCAGTGGGCGGGGAATGGATAGAAGGCCCTTCACACATGAAGAGAGACGGGCTGGCGCTGGAGGAAAGGTAACATCAGGAAATAAGCTAGCAAAGTGTGTGTGTCTGTTTGTGTGTGTGTGTGTGATATAGGGAGACAGCCAGGAAAGAAAAGGTGAGCTCCAGAACAGGACCAGGGCAGAAGAGAGTTTCCCTTCTGGCCACTTTCCCTGAGTGCAAAACTGGAGAGCCAGTGGCAATAATGTGCCCCCCCCCATGCGATGAATGCAGGAAAACACTGCATCTCACAGTCAGCTGTATTTGCAAGGGGTGGGGGGCGGGGAGGCATTCTCTACAGAAGAATTTCTGTGAATGAAATGCGCCCCCACCTCCTGATAACTGAACACTGATTTCTTCCTGGATAAATCCTCTGTAACATTTGCTCAATGCAAAGGTACACAACCACATCTCCACCCACTGCAGCGGAGCATGTAAAGAGCTCCTGGGTCGGTTCTGCCCTTCCCGCCTGTCCTCACTCAGCAGTGCCCACCACCGCCACCTCATCTTGCAGGCAGATCACAGCATGGGCTGCAGTCATACTTACACTGACCTCTTTGGCCTGCCTCTGGTTCAATGTATTGTGCAGACTGAGACAATGAAATATTTCAGTTACCCAGTTAAGGGTGCTGTGCAAACACAGCCCTTCCAATGCCACAAACAAGCAAGGGGCCAGAAGTGAGGAGAAACAAAGGGCCTTAAATCTCCAACAGAGGTTTGTGCTGAACTGCAGACCACAGACATTTCGTAGAGCCAAAGCATCAGCTGGCCAGAGTGGGGGAGAACCCAGGACCCCGGCCAGCCCTTACCCTAAGAAAACCTCATTTCCCAGTCTAAAAAATGGGGATATTTGTTCAGCTTGCTGTGAGGGCAAAACAGGGAACAGTTCTCTGTGAAATCAGATGGACAGCACTTCCAGCACAGTTAACGCTCCTGGCCAGCCGTCTCTGTTCCGTATCTTTTCCCCCCAACTTCAGCCTGTGAGAGGCCCCCCTGCTGTTCGGGGATCTCCGGAAGCTCTCCAGAGGGGCAACGGCTGACCCTCTGTGCCTCGGCCGCAAGCGCCTGGCCGAGAGCCACACGGGCCTCTGGTGGTGTGGGAGCCCCTTCTGGGCTGCCTTACCTCAGAGCGTTGAGAAGGCCTTCCGTGCTGTTGGAGGGCTGCTCCTTCAAGACTTTGATGCACCCTTTCATCTGGAGGGAGGGAGGGAGGGAGGGCTTTTGTTTGCAAAACTACGAAGAGGAAAAAGGGCTGGAAAAGGGCAACGGGTCTGCTGACTCCAGTCCCTCAGCCTGTGAACTTCCACCAGGGACCAGGAAAGGCTACTTCTGTCTCCAAGGGGTCTTGTTAGACATGTGACTGTGAGTAAAAGGCGAGTAACAGCAAATTTAAGCTGGAATGGGAATCCTTCTGCAAATCTTTCTGTCACTTCCCTCTGAAACACTCTTAAGAAAGCCCACTCCTCTTTGTCCCTTGCCTCCAAAGGAAGAAGAGCCCTCCTCATGGGAGGACAAAGGGGTTCTAGGAGTCTCATGCACGTCCTTCTGCATGAGCAACTGGGGTGCTTCCATGTGGGGTTTCCTAGAGATAGCCCTTCAAATGTGGGCTGCAGCCATGTGATTTGCCCTTCATAACGGATGCTCCCTGGTAAGAAAAAGGATGCGGCAAGTGGTGGGAAAACTGGGTGAGCCTCAAACAGAAGATTCGTCCTGCAGTTGAGGGGGGGAGGCGGGGGCTCACAGAACCCGAGTCTAACCTGGGAGCTGCAGCACAGGGGGTCTGAAATGCTACTCACGTCTATTTTGGAGGTCTTGGCAAATGCCCCCACCGGGTGGACGTGATCATAGAGGATGATTACCCCCACCATCACCCGCATGCAGAAAAGGAGGGTCTCAGTGTTCGTGAACCGGCTGCGATATTCCCTGTTGGAAGGCAGAGGAGAGACTTGGGGGAGAACCGCTCTGGACCGGCTGCGGGCTCCGGCCCTGCCTGGGGGAGATCCCGCCAAACGCCATCAACGCTGATCTGAGCCGGCTTGCCAGGGAGGCTGCACTCTGGGAGCCGCCGTTTCCCGCCTGCCTCACCCCTGGTCTTTCTGCTCGTAACCGAAACCAGGTCTTGACCCCCTTGACCAAGGTGATCTGGTGCGGTGGCTCTATTATTTTTAACATCCCTTCATCTATTATTTTCTGTTTCACTCGGTTTTTAAACTTTTTTATACTTTTTAATGTATTTATTGATCGTTTTTTAACCTTGCTGTATGCCCCCTAGAGTTGCTTG